CCTTGCCCAGCCTCTCCGGAGGCCCGCCGCCCGGCCAGGCCCGCAGGGAGGGAGGCGGGCCCGGGCGCGCGCGAGGGTCGGGCCGTGGCCGCCGGGGAGAGCGAGAGGCCCACGCGAGGCGCCGCGGCCTGGAGGGGGGCGGCGGGGCGGCTCCCACGTGGCGGGCGGGCCGGCCGGGGGGGTGCCCGCGCCTCGGTGCCCGCGGCTGAGTGCGCCTCTTCTGCTTGCAGGATGCGGGTTCGGCGCCCAGTACCATGGCGGCTGCGTCTGCGCTTCTCGTTTTAGCGAGCCAACGGACCTCGAGTAAAGGGACGGCGCTCCCTGTTGTATAGCAATAATTTTCCGGCTCCCACCGCAGTAGTATTTAATTTTTGTAAGATTATTTATTGTAGTATTTTCATACCTCATTTTTGTTTACATATCGAAGTAGAAAGTAATTAATTCGGAACCACCCAGACTAGTATCATGGATTCAGCAACACCTCTGACGGACCTTATAACCAGCACAGTAGCAAGTGAGGCCTCTGGCCCCTTGGTGGGTTTCCTCTGGATGCTGATATTAGGCTTCATCATTGCCTTTGTTTTGGCGTTCTCGGTGGGTGCTAATGACGTAGCTAACTCGTTTGGTACTGCAGTGGGTTCTGGAGTAGTCACTCTCCGGCAAGCTTGCATCTTGGCGTCTGTCTTTGAGACTGTCGGCTCTGTTCTTCTGGGGGCCAAAGTGAGTGAGACCATTCGGAAGGGGCTGATTGATGTTGAAATGTACAACTCTACCCAAGAGCTGCTCATGGCTGGCTCCATCAGTGCCATGTTTGGTGAGTAAAATGCTGTTTCTTTTTCCTTTCTGGCCCCCTTTAGAAACAGCACACGTTTGGGGAGTAGGCCATATTGGTAATGTTATGTGGCAATGCTGCTAGTCAGCTAGCTATCCTGGGCTCCTTCCTGTCAAGTCAGTCTTTCTGAATCTAACTTCCAACCAATGTGATAAAGGCAGAACACCTTTACCTTTCTTGCTTAGGTTCAGCTGTGTGGCAACTCGCGGCTTCTTTTCTGAAACTTCCAATTTCTGGTACACATTGTATTGTTGGGGCAACAATTGGCTTCTCTCTGGTTGCCAAAGGACAGAAAGGAGTAAAATGGTCAGAGCTGCTTAAAGTTGGTAAGTGAAGATCTAGTGCTATTTTTCAAATCCAAACATACACTTACTTAATAAGAAGCCTTTTTCTGTTTGTATTTTCAATTGGGTAATGGTGTATACAGCCCTAAATAAATATTTCTTTCTTCTCTAGTGTTGTCCTGGTTCATCTCTCCTCTTCTTTCTGGCATCATGTCTGCTGTTCTGTTCTTTCTCGTTCGTATGTTCATTCTTTCCAAGGTATGTATGGTGTGGTAGGACTTACAGATATGCTGCTAACAGGTCAAAATTGAGAATTTGTGATTCTAATAATGAATTGTAAGTTGCACTGTAGCAAAGGAAGACAGCAAGAATATTGCACTGCATTTAGGTTAATTCATGCTGACTTATAGCTTATTGGTTGTAGGGAAGGGACTGTAGCTCAGAGGCAGAGTCCCTTCCTTGTATGCAGAAAACCCCATCTTCAGTCTGTTCCATCCCAAGTAGGGTTAGGAAAGAACCTTGTCTGAAGGGTCATCTGCTCCTCTTCCAAGCACCTGTGGAAACTTTTGCATCATGAGAGAGGTGAATTGGGAAGGGTTTGCATCCTAAGTTCTCCCAGTTCCCAACTGCACCCCAGTCAAGGGGGAAATCCACAGCAGTGCTCTAACAGGAAAACTTTTTTCCTTCCCATGGGGTGGAGTTCAAAAAGAGGGAAAAAAAACCAAAATGCTAGTTTGAAGCCTCATTGTTTTTCCCTCATGCTGGCCTTGCCAACAGTAGCCCACAGAGTGTTGGATATGTTGGAGGCTCTGATGTTGGAGCTTTCAGAAATCAAGCTTTCAATTTCACAATTGTGGAATTTAAATATTACATTCAGAGGCCTATTTAGACAAGGTTTTGTTTGGAAGATTTTGTGGCATAAACTAATTCTAGTACATGATAAGTTGTAAATGTATTTTTTATTATTTTTAAAGATTAATTAAAACTTTAATGTTAGCATTTTATATATATGTAGTAGAATAATATTCATTTGAGTTTCCTAGTTTGATTTTATATTACAATAAGTCTTTGTTGGTGCATTTTACAAAGTGTTCTTTTGAAGGCAGATGTTGTTCTGTGGAAAGATGCAGACTGAGAGTGAATGCTTTTTCTAGGAAGATCCTGTTCCAAATGGATTACGTGCATTGCCCATCTTTTACGCCTGCACGATTGGGATCAACTTATTCTCTATCATGTATAGCGGTGCTCCTTGTAAGTACACAAAAAAGTAACAATCTTACATTTTTATATCCTTTATTAATTTCTCAGTCAAACACAGAATTTTACCCCTTTTGCTTTACAGGACTGAATTCTTCTAGAAGGCAACTGGCCTGGGCCAGTTACAGAAGGCTGCAGGCTAGCATACGCTGAGCTCAACCCTAGATAGTTACCCCACCCACGAGGCCAGCTTACACTGTAAATGACTAGAGACCTTTCTCCTTAGTCCTCACAGGAACTGCAGATTCTGCCTGCCTGCTACTGCTGTCTCACAATTCTGCCCTGCCCTTTATCTGCCTCCAGATAATGGTCTGAATTTTCCCTTTCTCTCTTTGATATCCACTGCTGAAGCCCAGGATATTAGCTGCTACAGCTGTTGCTAAGCCTGGCTGTTTCCCTGTTTTCATAATAATATTCAGGCCAGTGGAAATAGGGTGGTTTTGTGGTGCACTTTCCCATTCTGGCCTCCAAACCTTTATTACTTTTGATCCCAAAGAATAAGCTGTTTGTCACCCTTCTGGCAAGAAAAGCTGGCATCAAGCGCTTGGAAGAGGAATTTCACATGCCTGTGTTGGAACTTTCTGGGAATATCTTAATAAAATGTTAAATTGTCTGTTGGTAAGGGATTGAGGAAGCAAGCTGGGCATTTTCAAAGCAAAGCAAGGGTGTAATCCTGTGCACATACAGTCTGGAGAATGCCGGGGAGCTTTTTGCTTTCCAAATGTGCACAGGACTGTGCACTAGCTTGCTTTAAACATTTCTGTGGGAGGCATGATGCTCATTCTGTTTGTACCCTGGAAGTGCTGGGCAGTTGCGCTCCAAACATGAAGTGATTTGTCCAGCAACTGAGTTTCTCCTGTTGGCTTTTCCTAAGTAAAGTGAGTTACAAAGAGATGCTGATAACCAAGAGGTGCTCATGGCTGAAAGGTGTTTCTCCTTGCTTGTGTGGAGATCTTTGTCAACTGAGTGTAGTTGAGGGAAGGGAATGTAATCAGTTAGCTGCAGCCAGACATGCCAATGGCCAAGGAATGCTTCCATTACAAGGTAGAGATTGGCTGAACCTGATGTGAGAGCAGCTCATGCTAGGCTTTGTGAAGACTATAATCTCAGGATAGGCTTGAAAGGCTATGAGAGTGAGTTCTCATGGAATGGAGAAAATTCAACCTGGCAGGCTGTATCTTCTACTTTAAGCTTTAGTTGTATTTGCTTGAAGGTTAGATCTTACTTGCTGTGAAGATGTAATAGTCTTTGCATATTGGAGCAAGAAACTACAATACTAAACCATTTATTCTGCTGGGGAAGAGAACATGTCAACTTGGAGGGGCTTCAGCTTAGGATTTTCAAGATGCATTGTTTTATTTCCTAGTGCTGGGCTTTGACAAACTTCCCGTCTGGGGCATTGTCCTCATTTCGCTGGGGAGTGCTGTTGTCTGTGCTCTCATCGTCTGGTTCTTTGTCTGTCCGAGAATGAAAAAGAAAATTGAGCGTAAGTAGTTCCAACTTGTTAGAATTGTACTTAAATGTTGTATAGCCTGTCCGTTTTGGTGTTGTATTTATGAGCACTAAGTGGTTTTTGCAAGGTTCTTAGGTAAAAAATATGGAATCACTTTGTATGTGACATTAAATATGACCAAAACCATTCTGGTGTATGTTGGTGCCTGTGCCTTCATAAAATGGAGAGCAAGGAACCTTTTGCTATGCCTAATTTCTTTGTTTGACTAAAGTCAAAAAGTTAAATGTAAGGGCCGTACAGTTTCTGCTGGAGGAGAGTATTTCCTCCACAGTAAAGGAAATTCATGTCAAGCCTTCTAGAGGCAGGAGTTTGCACCCTCGGACCATGCTGTTGTGACCAGTGCTTACTGCTTTCTGCAGAAGAGATCAAGCCCAGTCCTTCTGAGAGTCCCTTAATGAAGAAAAAGACAAGCCTGAAAGAGCAGGAGGAAAGCAAGGCAGCCTCGGAAGATGACCAAAGCCCGGCAGCCGAGGGGTCTTCCGTGCCTCACCGAGCTGCCGAGGAAAGGATGGTCTCTTTCAACTTGGGAGACTTGGAGGAGATTCCAGAGCGCGAGAGGCTCCCCAGGGTTGAGATGAAGGAAACCAGTATTGATAGTGGTGAGTTGGTTCTAATGACGCGGTTGAGGTTGTGGTTCTGGCAAGTTCCAGCATGACATGAAACCACCCCTGGTACTGCACGTGTGGTGCTGTCCGTAGTTTTGCAGCGGATTTGCACAGGGCTCATTTGCCTTAGTGAAGACTGTCTCTGTGCCTGCAGGAGCCATGCAGCTTCCTAATGGGAGTCTGGTGCAGTTCAACCACGCAGTCAGCAATCAGATGGGCTCCAGTGGGCATTACCACACCGTGCACAAGGACTCTGGCCTTTACAAGGAACTTCTGCATAAGCTTCACCTTGCCAAAGTCGGCGACTGCATGGGAGACTCCGGCGATAAGCCCCTGCGGCGTAACAACAGTTACACCTCATATACCATGGCCATCTGTGGCATGCCTTTGGATTCGTTCCGTACTAAAGAGACTGAGCCAAAGCCGGGGGATGAGACGGAGAAGCTGACATGGCCAGGGGCAGATTCCAAAAAGAGGATCCGAATGGACAGCTACACCAGCTATTGCAATGCCGTGGCTGATGCGCACCCAGCTGATGTGGATTTACAGAAGGCTGAGATGGGTGTTGGCAGCCGGAAAGGCAGCAGCAGCTCTCTGGATGAATGGCATGACCAGGACAAGCCAGAAGTGTCCCTCCTTTTCCAGTTCCTGCAGATCCTGACAGCCTGTTTTGGATCCTTTGCTCATGGAGGAAATGATGTGAGGTCAGTTGCTGGGCTTTCCACTGTTGTGCTTGCCTTGCTTTTCTGCGACATTGTGTCATTTCATAGTGGCTGCCTTGTGTGAGGCCTTTAGCAAGCTTGCCGTATGATATGGATAAAAGCCAGTGACTAGCCTTTAGGGGAAAATGTTTGTTTTGCTTTGTCACTCTTCTGTCAGTTGACCCTGTGCACACTCCTTTTTGGCAGCAACGCTATCGGTCCTCTGGTTGCCCTGTATTTGGTCTACCAAACGGGTGATGTGTCTTCAAAAGTTGCAACTCCAATTTGGCTCCTGCTGTATGGTGGCGTTGGGATCTGCACTGGCCTGTGGATCTGGGGGAGGAGAGTCATTCAGACCATGGGGAAGGATCTGACACCCATCACGCCATCTAGGTAAGGAAGGAAGGGGGTACTTGTTTTTGCAGGAGTGCATGTGGTGGACTGATTTGGCTTGTCTGAGGTGCTGGTTAACTTTGAGGATGTTTGAAAGTCTCTCCACAGAAGCCTTATAGAAGATAACTGGAAGAATTATTTCCCTGCTTTGTGTACTCAAAACATGTTTCCCTGCTTTGTGTACTCAAAAGTTACACACTTGCCCAGGGAAAGTAACTCTGGTCATTCAGGGAGCTGGTGTTCTTTGCCCATGGACCACACTTCTGTTGTTGCTGTGTCAAAGCAAATTTGGAAAGGCTGCCTTACAAACTTCTATAATTGTTTGTTCTGGGGGCAGGGTGAGGGGAGTACCGGTTGTCCATCCCTGCTTTATCGTATAGTACTTACCTCAGCATATAAAATAAGAGACCTCTGAAGGAGTCTCCACTATTTCTCGCTAAATGTTTTCTTCTTTAGTGGATGTTTTTTAACATCTGCATCCTTTTAACTCCTAGTGATTTGGGACTCGCTTTCTGACAACTATATGTTGCTTGACGCTTTTTCTAGCACATGATTCTTAAACTCTAAACTATAATCTATTTTCTTTACTCCCATAAAGCTTGGTAGCCATCAAGCAATGTGGATTATCAATACTAAGTGATCCGGAAATGTGTCGGTGACAGGAGGGCAGTGAGCATTTGTTTGTATAGGCCTTCCTGCTCCTGCCGCTATTACGGCTAGACTGCCAGGGCTCTCCTGTTCTACTGGTTCCCAGTATGTGTATGGAGCCAGAAAGGGTGCCGAGTGCCGTTTTGGCCCTGTAGTACTGAAGCAGCCTGAGCAACTTCTGTGATGCCAGCCCAGGTCTAGAGAAACAGCCTGGTGCCAGGGCAAAGGTGGAGAGGATTGTGCTAGTGTGGGCTTGGTTTCTGACACTTGCTTAATGCCCAGGCTTGCCTGCCTTGTCTCAGGCAGCAGCACACTGGCCTGGGTGGGTCTGCTGTTGTCAACATCAGGACTGCCATTTGTATTGTATGCCCTGACCTTAGCTTTCTGCTAGGCTTCTCTCGAGCATGTTGGGAATTCCTCTGGTGTTTGAGTTCCCTCCCCTTCTCCAAGCAGCTCCACTTTTTTGATTAGGCCTCAATTCTTGATGAACCAGACCATGCAAAGCCTTATGTACAGAGGGGTGCAGCCTGGAGTAGTGACGTGACTGAGTGTAAGAACAACTCTTTCTCTCCACAGCGGCTTCAGCATTGAACTGGCCTCTGCTCTGACTGTGGTCATTGCCTCTAATGTTGGCTTACCTATCAGCACAACTCACTGTAAAGTAAGTAGAAAAGCTTATCCATACAAACCCAGTATGAATGCAGTTGGCGGATGCAATTGAGTTGAGGCCAGGAGTGTGCCGGATGCCACTCCCGCCCTTTGTGCAAACATGCTATTGCCTGCAAAATGGCTTGGTGTTGTATCTTGTCCTTCCTCCAGGAATCCCAAGAACAGTGTCTGGGATTTACAGCTAAGCTGGAAGAACATACTTTTCCTAAGGCCACTACCAGGAGTGGGGGTTTGAACCATGATTTCACTAGCTGCAACTAGGCTGGCTGACAGCACTGGCCCTTGATTTAAACTTGGGAGTAATAACTTTGTTCTTGAATATCTTGGATTTTAACATACTGCAGAGAGTTTAGGTCCATGTGCTTACACTTCATATTTCCGTGAACCTGGTGAATGACATACCTAAAAAAAACCTTGGAAGGGCCTTGATGCCCTCTGCTGCTGCTGGATGGAAGTTTGGTGGGAATATTTGCAGACCTGGCAGAGGGTCCAGATAATAATGAGTAGGATGGCTATTTCTATGTGAAAGATGGTTTGCCTGTCAGGTGGCTAAGTTTCTGCTTCCCCCCCCCCCCGCTGTAGGTGGGATCGGTGGTCTCTGTGGGCTGGCTGCGCTCCAAGAAAGCTGTAGACTGGCGCCTGTTCCGCAACATCTTCATGGCCTGGTTTGTCACAGTCCCTATTTCTGGCCTCATCAGTGCTGCCATCATGGCACTGCTCAAGTATCCCATTCTAGGAGCATGAAGCAGGCTTGCCAAAATCCCCATGGCTTCCCTGCACCAGCGCCTGTCTGCATATCCTTGCCAAATGCCTGAAACAGTGTTAGAGTGACTCCAGGAAGAGGCAAGAAGAGGCAGGGTGTCTCCTTTGCTGTACCTGCTTTCCTGCATAATCTCTTTTCTTGGAACTAGAGAAGTCCCACTTCTCCAAGGCTGTGAATTATTGTGTCTACATTTCTATACGGTTTTTGTATTGAGCTTTAACTTCATAATGTTGTCATGATGTATCATTTGTGTTCTCTGAGCAGAAACTTAAACCTGGCAAGCACAAGGAAGAGGGAGTGTCCTAGCTGAAATAAGTGTTGGGGGGGCACTTTTATAAATAAAATCTTTCTAAACAAAGAAGTAGGTTTGGGCGATATTCTTTTTGTGGGGATGAAAGGTCACCTGGGATCTTGCTGCTGCTTATGCTCCCAGTGAATCGTAGTATCTTTGAAGGCGAGTGGTGCAGCCCCCGTCGAGCAAAGCTTCTTTTGTATTCTTGGGCAAGGTGCAGGGGCTCACAGCTTATCTGTGTTTGGCTGTTGAGTGAAAATGATGGGTTCGATCTGGTCTGGTCAGGTTCAGGCCTAGCTATGGAACAAGTGCAGCTTAGCTACTTGGGTTAATGACATGTGTTGGGGAGCAGATGATGGGGTGCACTCCCTGGTTCTTCAGACCTCTCGGCAGGTTTTGATCCCATTAACTATGATAAATGTCTGGATTGTTTATCTGTGTTGGACTAAGGAAGTCATGTGATTTTGCTCCTTCCTGGAGCAGTAGTCTTTGAAGGTAGTGCTAGAGGGCGCTGTTTTATCCAATGGTTATTAGCAGGTGGGTGCTGTGAGGTTCGTTCTTCCCCCTGCCCTGTTTTTGAGAGTATATGAAGCTGCAGGAGGGAGTCATCCCAGGAAGCATCCTCAGGAGGAAGGAGGCTCCTCTCTTTGACAGCCGCAAAAGCAAGCCAAGTTCAGCTCACTGAGGCAGTCAAGCAGTCGCTGCAAAATGGACTCATGCCCTGGGCAGGCACCTTACCTTTCTGTTCCAAAGGGGACTTCTTGAGCAACCGAGGGGTGTCTGATTCACGCATGGGTAGCAGTGGAGCAAGGAGCAGTGCCTTCCATTCAATTCTTCACCTCCATGTGCCAGTGTGAAGCTCCTCACACATGTGAATGAGCCAGTGGCAGGGCCAAGGAGCAGCTGGGCAGTGACAACAGTGCTGCCCAGTTTGAGGTGGAGCACTGCAGCAGATTTCCCCACCAGTCCCTTTCCCCCACGGCTTGTCAAAGAGGTGGCTGCCTGGCTGGGGGCACTTTTGGGCAAGCACGAGTGCGAAAGAGGACCACAGCTACCTGTCCCTTGTTGCAGCTACCCAGGGTGCGAGTTTGGAATGCCTCTCTCACAAGCTGGAGTGCACAAAGAGGGACAATTGCCATCTCGCTGTCATCGCCACCATCCAAGAAGAGCACTCTAAAACAAAACTGCAAACAGAACAATGGATCTGCTGCTACATTGCAAAGCTGCAACTTAAGGGGGCATGGAAAGACCCAGATTGGGTCACTGCTTTTCGAAGTGGTTGGCTTTGTTCTGTCACCCCAAAATGGTGGGTTGCGACAGGGAAAGTGGACTGATGCTGCTGCATGCTGAGTGTCCACTGACACCTACTCAGGAGACTGCCTGAGATGATTCCTGAGTCATCCAAGATCCTGGGCTCTGCAGCACCATGCAGACAGACATCACAGGCATGAATTTAATTTGCCGGAGCCATCCACTTAACAACTACCTCCCTGAGTTGGATGCCAGATCAATGCAGTGCCTTTATGCAGAACAGAATGTATATTTATAGTGAGCAGCAACGTGAATTTTATTTCTGGAGACTGCAGTGACAGTTGATTTGCTGGGCTATCTTTTAGCATGGAGGGAAAGGTCACTGACTTTGGGGATTGTCCCTAATAGCAGGATGGGAGGGCTCAGCGGGACCTTTTGCTGAGGTTAAATTTCCCTGCAACCACGTCTGGCCACACTTCATACACGTCACAGCATTTGCTAGCAGTTAAATTCTCAGTCTAAATAGAAGGCATCTTTCAGCAGTACAGTTTGGGTTAATCAGCCCAGAAGTTGTCTCCATCCAGACCTTGTTTGCCTAAAAGGGAGCTATAGGAAGGCCTATGAGGATGTCTTGGCAATAGGTGTATTGGCATCTCCTGAAAGCTTGCAGTCACCACTGCAGTTTATAGCCCAAATGACCAAAATATTTTTAAATCCTATGAAGCAAGTGCTAACATGTTAAAGAATAAACTTTCATGTGATCCATTTCTTTCCTAGCTTAATTAGTAGCTTGTTGGAAGCTCGCACTGAATTTCAGTGGAGCCCATTCCTGTGAGTAGTTCTCTTGGTTTCCGGCAGATATTCATGCCTCGACAGCTCCAGGACACATACACCAACTGGTTTGTAAGAAAAGACCCACCAGGCGGATTTTTTGCTTTTAATTCCAGCTGGCTTGAGGCTACTCTGCTTGTTCAGGAGTCCAGGAAGTCTACGGCCCCAAAAATAGCAAGCAGCAAATAACATTCAGGCCCATTATTCTGAAAATGTTACTCCAAGCAATGCATTTGCCGCACGTGCTGGCTTTGCAGAGAGGGTGAGCACAGTCACTAAACTGGGTGGACCAGCTACCGTGACTGAAAAGTGATCATGATTGGTGTGGAGGAGACCAAACAAGCCAGTGAGGCCACTTTGGAATGGGAGAATTCCTGCCTCTAGGAGAGGATGAGTTTGGCAAGCAAGGGGTGTTGCTGCTCTTTCCAGACTGGTCACTGATAGGAGAGTGTCTGTGGATTGGATGGCAGTCATATACCGCTGCTCATTCTGTGTGGCTTTATTACAGTTCCTTGCTCCTGTTGATACTTTTGTGGATTTTTCACCAATCTGGCATTTAACAGCCGTGTGCAGGAACCTGGAAACAAGCTGATGGGACAGCCCTCCAACCTGCAGGTATAAGAAAGACTAGAATGCAGCACAGCACAGCACTGTCTGGGCCACATCCCCCTTATCTGGCTGGCCGTCCTCCCAGTTGCCATGTCTCCCTCTACTTGTCTCCCCTGACTGGAGCCTCCACAAGGGTTTTAAATGTGGAGGATTAGGAAACAGCACCAAGGATGACACAGTGGCAAAAATCATGGAAGAGGCACATCAATCAGGCTTTCAAAGCAGTAGTGCATCTCATCCTAACCTGAGCAACCTCATAAAAATGGAAAACAACACTTCTAGAAATCCACGTGATTCTGACATTTGAATTTGCAGCAGATTACAGCATCCATACATGCAAAACTCATTCGATTTATATCCTGCCTTTTCCCCCAAAGGGCTCAAGGCAGCTTACATCATTCTCCTCCTCTATCTTACCCCACAACAACCCTGTGAGGTAGGTTGGGCTGAGAGTGTGACTGGCCCAAAGTCACCCAGTTGGCTCCATGGCTGAGCGGGGACTAGAACCCAGATAGTCTTGAGTCCCAGTCCCATGCTCTTAACCACTACACCACACTGGCTCTCAGAAGAGAGATTTGTTTCTCCAGAAACAAGAAAAAAAACAACAGAAAACTCCAGAAGAGAAACTTGTTCTTTGTGTGGTTTATGCATAACAGGCAGAGTGGATGGGCAGCTGATATGGGGCCTTGCAAAGGAGAGCTTTCCTGCAAGGGAGGCGAGAGCTACGAGTAAGACGTCAGCTGCCGCAAATTTGATAGTTCATTTCACAGTATTTAGTGTCTGCAAAACACACATTGCAAAAAAGTTTTCACCTTCAAGTTTGTGAAGGAAATTCTGAAATGTGGCAAGTGAATGATGGTAACTGAAAAGAACTGCACCTATCTTCATCTTCGCAGGTAGGAGAAAACTTGCAATTGGAAAGCTACCATCTGGGGGAAGCCAAAAGGCTGGTGGGGGACTCAGGATGCCCCAACATCTGTCCAAAAGGATCAATCAAAACACTGATGAGCCCTGGTTCAGAAGATCATCAGACCAGGTGATCTTCCTGGGTGTTCTTGCTGGTCTGAATGAAAATCTGGACCTTTTCCTAATCTTGGGAGCTGTTCATCCATCTTTAGAACTTTCCCTTTAGAAAGCTCTATTGAGTTAATCTGCATGTTTTGAGTAATCCATTATTGCATCAGAGTCAAGCGTGTGTCCAAGCAGGAAAAAAAAAATCTGGTAGTTTAGGATTTATTTCCATGTTTTAAAGTGCTTTCTCAGCAGAGAGGTAATCAATGGTATTTACAGTTGTGTAAGTTTAGGACTGGGAACAAACTGGTGAGCCGACCTATTATTTGGAAACATGCAGTTCACTAGCTCCTAAGCATTTAAAATATATTACAGTTATATTTTAAGACAGAAACCATGCTTGTCAGCCGTTTGCTCAGCCTGCTTCTTTAGGTGGGGTCCCACATATTTATTTATCTATTTTTCGATTTACATCCTGCCTTTTTCCTACAAAGGGCTCAAGGCAGCTTTACATCATTCTCCTCCAGCTTATCCCCACAACAACAACCCTATGAGGTAGGTTGGGCTGAGCATCTGTGACTGGCCCAAAGTCACCCAGTTGGCTCCATGGCCGAGCGGGGACTCGAACCCAGACCGCTTGAGTCCCAGTCCCATGCTCTTAACCGCTGCACCACACTGGCTCTCAGACACATGAGGTCTGGGAAGCTCTGGGAGCATTATCTGCAGCTTACTGAAGGGAGCAAAGGGAGAGTCATGAGGCTGCCTCTCCTCAGAGGCCACCGAAGCTGGTGGCCTGTGATCAGCTGCCAGGGACTGCGTGGCACTGTGTGCTGGGGCAGGGGGCTCAGAAAGGGACCCTCGTGAGCTCCTGTTCGAGTAAAGGCAGGTTCTGGCCATTCTATGTGGGGCAGCAGTGCTACTACCCCTGAGAATTTACAGGCACTGTGCGGTGCCCAGTGCTGCAAGCTGCCTTCGCAGCTCCCTCCCAAGCAAAGGGACCCAGGTGCTTCTGCTGCCAGCATCCCAGCTTCTCTGCAAGCCTGGGGGCCTGGCATGGGCTGGCCCCAGAGAGGGAGGACAGCCAAAGCCAGTGCTGTTTCAGACCCCTCTTATCAGTGGAGAGCAGCCAGAGGCTGTTCATGTGAGCACCTGGGTCTTCCCAGCTGGGCCTCACTCCCTCCTGCTATCGATCCCCACAGCTGTGGAAGGAAGGATGGAGGGAAGGAAGGAAGGAGCAGTGCTGGTGGCAGAAAAGGGAGGCCAGCGTAGTGCTTTTGCTCAGAGTCGCTGGGTCTGCCTTGCCCGTGTGGGTCAGAACTGCCCATTGCATCCATCCAGCCCCTGCCACCCTCCAGATCTCCAGGGCTGTCTCTCTTGTGGGTCAAACCCCCTGGCCGCATGGTGGACCCGCTGTCCTAGATAAGGCCGGGGCACTGGGCTGTCCTGCGTGGTGCAGGGGATGGGCAGGAGCAGGCTGAGGGAGGGGAAGGGAGTGGCGAGGGGCTCGTGTCGTAAATGGAGTGAGTGAGTTTGATTGCACTTGCGTTCCTCTCTCTGGGATCTCCCTTTTACCATTGGAAAAGTAGTGTGTGTGTTTATGCATGTGTGCAAGTGAGGGGATGGGTTCAGATGTTCACATAGGGCCACAGTACAAGGAAGGGCTCCCTGCCTCAGCATTGCGTTGCTCAAGGCAGTCCCCGCAATGCAAATGCCGAGTGACTGAGTGGCCCAGAGTACCTGCCTTGAGCCCCTTTTTCATGCAGGGCCACTGCCCAAATCTGGGTAGGGTTCTTGGGTGAGGCAATTGGAACTGCTGCCGCCCCTTCCTTTCATTCATTCATTCATTCATTCATTTATAGTTTTTTATATGCCATCCCCTTGCTACATAGCCTTGGGACGGCTCACAAAAGTAATAAAACAATAATTACAATTAAAACCTGGAAACACACTGGCTGCATAATAAAATATATAAATATTAAACATGATTAAAATACTGTTTGAATAAAAAGGTCTTGGCCTGGTGCCGAAAAACAAAGACGGCGCCAGGCGGACCTCTCTCCTATACTGGCTCTGCAGCAGTTCAGGGGCTCTGCGGAAGAATAATGGAAATGAGGCCTTTTTGCCACATCACTGCAGGTGCCTGCCTTGCCGCCCCCCCCCCCCCGCTCAAAGTGGGAGTCGCAACCAGTAATGCTCAGGGTCTGTCTGTGCAGCCATATGCACCTTTCCACATGTGAGAATGAGCTTTGTGTGTGACGCTTCATGCAAGGCTCCAGAAAAGCCTCTAGAGCAGAGGTGTGACTTTGTTCCTTCTGGACAACACTGTCCAGCGATTCCCCGCACACACTCCGCGTTTTGTGCCTTTGAGCCGAGGTGCAATGCCTGGTGGAGGAGGCCAGCCCTCCTGCTGGGGTTTTCCCATTGTTCTTGTTCGCATTGCGTGCCAGCTCTGACTTGGGGCAACTCTGCAAAGGAGGCCCTCCCAGATATCTGGCCCGTGGCAGACCTGGTCAGCTCTTGCAAGCACGAGGGGCGACTTCCTTATGGAGTCAGCTCATCCCATCACTGGTCTTCTGCCTTCGATTTTCCCAGAATGATTGTCTTCTCCTGTCAGGCTTGCCTTCTCATGAAGTTGCCCAAAATACATTCGCATCAGTTTTTGCTCTGAGGAAAAGTTTGGGTTTGTTTGATCAAGGACCCACTTGCGTGTCTGTCAGTCTGGGATATTTGCAAATCGCTCCTCCAGCACCATGTTTCGAAAGCATCCATTTTTTCCCATCAGTCCTCTTCACTGTCAAGCTTTCACACGCATGCCATAATGTGTTCTTGGCCCTGGTCTCCAGTGAAACACCCTTAAACCTGAGCATCCTTTCCAGATTTTTCACTGCTGCCATTCCCAGTCTCGGTCACCCTCGAATCTCCTGGCAGCAGCCTCCACCAGTGTCAGTGGCTGAGCCAAGCCTGTTCTTCAGGCTGCTCCTTTTTGGGGAGGCTTCTCTGGTTAAGGGGCAAATCTGTCTTGGGTTCCTTCTCTCTGATGGTTACCCTGAGGGCCTGAATACTCTTCATGGTGTTATAGGGTGGCCCGGCTTTTGCAATGCCTAAGAAGTGGGAGCAGAAATGCCAGGAGGAGGAGAAAGGAAGATATGGATTAGCATAAAATCTGCACAGGCTAATCTCTAATCTGATTGCCGAGCTACAGAGGATCCTCCTAAAGGCTGCCTGCTTTTCAGGTGATTCTGGAGACTTTTTTCCCAGGATAACAGATCCTTCGGTTCTGGTTTTAGCTCACTGCCTGCAGATACAGGTTTTACGATGCTGGCTGTGTGTCTTTTAAGCAACTGTGTTGCTTTCTTCTTCAGGATTGTTTTTAGTCTATTTTGATAGATGAATTATGATAAGAAGCAAGGTATAGGAATACAAACAAGTAGCGAACCCTTTCCCCACTTTTAATTTGGTACATACAAATGCTGTTCTCTTGTTCCCAGAGAATAAGAAGCTCAAGAGGGAAAAGCCTTTCCCCTGTGTCTGATGAGAGCATCCTGGGGAAATGCCTGTGCTTCTCTGGCCGAGGCTGCTCGATGAGATTTTATGGAGCCCTTTGCTGCACCTCTTGGCTGAATCGCACACCTGGCCAAGTGCCGCTGAAAAGCACCCTCCCTGCCTGCTCCCTCCTGCTTGCTTCGCAGAGCCCGGCCAGACTGGCCCAGGCCAGGCACAGGAGGGGTGCCTCTGGCTTGGTCGGCTGGCAGCAGGGCAAGCGGAAAGTGGAGGGAAGACTGAAGCCACTGTGGCAAGGAAGCAGCGGGGCGGGGGGAGCAGCTGGGAGCTCGCCAGCAGGCGTGGACCCCGTCCCAGGCAGAGGCGTGCCGAGCAGAAAGCTGGGGCTGGCCCGGGGAGTTGCACCGGGACAGCTCTTCGGGTGGGCTGGGTTTGGGCAATGGGCTGTGAGGGGGTGGCGTGAGGGGAAGGAGGCCAGGGGTCTGTGGAGGGGCGGGAGCCGGGGAGGGGCCCGTCGGCTGGGCCGGGCTGATAGCCTATCTCCCTGCTCAAAAGGGAGCAAGCAGCCAGAGTGCCTCCTCTTCCACCTCCTCCTCCTCCTCCTCTTCCTGCTCCCAGCCAGCAACGCCTGCAGCCAGCTCCTCCTGGAGATGGGCAGCATCGCCAGAGAGCCTGCCATGGCCACAGAGCCCGACACTCAGCGGGAGCTGCAGGAGCCTGGGAGCACAGAGCCCCGGGCCCCCGTCAAGCGGGACCACCACCACCGGTGAGGGGGTTGGGCAGCCGCAGAGGAGGGCTTCCTCCCTGTCCGAGGACGGCTGCTGCAGGCGGAGGGTGTCGGCTGGGGCAGCCCCAGGCCTCGCTGCTGCTGCGGATCGGGCCTGGGCAGTCTTGTTGTCCTGGAAGGAGGGTGGGCAAGTTCCCATGCAGTATGGTTTCCTTGGCCCAGGCAAGGGCACCATCACATGGGAAAGGGGCAGCCCCGGAGGTGCTCCATGCATGCTGCTGGGGAGACAGCTGTGTCCAGCACAGAGCTCTCCTGCCTCATGGGTTTGCTGGCTGCCTGCCCTGCTTGATGTGTCCTTGGGACAACCCGCACCCCCCGGGTTGGGCTTCCCAGGTGCAAATGGCAGCCACTGGCGTGCAGTGGTGCTTCACCTCTTTTTGCCCTCCGCTTCCACTGGAGCAGCCTCTGCCCCTGCAGCACGCGTCCCCCCGCCACTCAGTGCCGTCGGAGGCCTTGCTGGGCCCCACATCCTCCATTTCACAGTGATGTTCCATTGCAGAAGAGTTTTCTACTCTGACAATGTGAGCAGTCTCCCTCACGCTGCAAGGGCGCACGCAGTGGCTGGGGTCCCCCATGCAGCCTCCTGTGGGCAGGAACAGCCCGAGGAGGGTGGCAGGGTTTGGAGTAACACTCTTGATGGGCCTTGCCAGGGCTGACCGGGTCACTGGAGAGCCGCCGATCCTGAATGGAGCCAGCAAAGGGGCTGCAAGCCAGCTCTGTCAGAGGCCGCAAGGGGCCTGCAGAGATCTTTGCCCCTGGCCAGGGGTTCTTGTGATAGAGGAGCCTCCTGCCGGATTCCTCTTTGCTGCCTTATCACCCTGAACATACAATGTGGATTTCAGAAAGGGGACCTTGGCCCGCCCGCCCGTAATTAAAATGTCTGGAATGGCATAGGGACCGGTTGTTCCACAAACTCCTAAGGAATGTGAGTTCATTTTGGAATGAATGAGAGAATGAGCTGAAATAGCTCATTTAATTCCATTTTCTTTCATTGGAGTCTCCTGGCGGAACGCACACCCCTGTGCAGCAGGCCCCCGCCGCAGCCCTGGGCACCTCGAAGCTGTGGGAGGCTCCTGTTTGCGAGCCCGATGGGCCGTGCTCTAGCTTCTGGTAAGGCACAGCACAGCCATCCTGGCAAAGGGCCACCCATCCGGAGCAGAGGAGCCATCCTGCTGGATCAGAACACCACACCCAGCATTCTGTCCACATGGTAGCAAACTGGCCCCTTCCCACTCAGCAATGTGTCTGCACTCTGCTTGTGCTCCTGGAGGTGTCAGCCCCAGCAGCCACGGATGGCCTCCTCCCCAGGATCTGTGCAGTCCCCTTTTAAAGCCCCAAATCGAGGGCCATCACTGCATCTGGTGGAGGCAAGTTCCACAGGCTAACTCTGCACTGTGTGAAGAGGCCCTTCCCATGGCAGGAAGGACCTTCCTTGGGACTTTTGCCTGTGGGGGCTCTTGGACGTTGCTCCCGTGATCGCAACCTCAGCTGATGTGCGCAAACTCAGCGGAGGCAACATGGGGCGACAATGAACTGTGAAGTTTGCAGAGGGCAAATCCGAGAAACGCCAAGGGCAACTGACCCTGCAGACAGCCTGGCAGGGCGGCAGGTGCTCGGCCATCCTGGAGTGCCGAATGCCGCTTGTGAAACAGCTGAAGGGGGGGCAGGGCGGGGGCAGTGGCGCTTGCGTGGGGCTGGCTGGAGGCAGGCAGGGCTCGATCAATGGGACCTTGAGCAGACGAGCTCGCAGGGGAGGTACGGGTACATTGCTCTTGCTTACCTCAGAGGAGCCATGCAAGAGCCAGCGGGCGTGCATGGCGCAGCCCTGTCCACTCTTGTGCAAGCTTAAAATCTGCAGGACTCACATTTGGCCCTGCAGTCGACACCAGTGTCCCCCAGATTATATTCCCGATGGTGCCGCTTGGCATGGCCCACAGCTGTGAGAACGCCTGCTCCTGCTGTCCCATCCATGCTGGCCCTGCAGCACGGGTGGCAGGTCCGTGTGCAGATGTGAAGAAAGCCCATCCCCGGGGCACTCCCAGAATCAGCATTCAGACGCTTACAGTTACTGGAAGCAAACATGCCACTCTGGGAGCTTTGGCAGGCACTCCCCTCCCCCCATGGCACTGGCAGGACTGCTCTGGAGCCACCGGCACCTTTCTGCCCTCTGCCCCCTCAGCTGCTCGGGACTTGGGGTCCCTGAGGAGGATTGTGTGCTTAGGACACAGCTTCATTGGCCAGGACCGGGAGGTGGGACTTGGGGGCAATTTGCCAAGGCTGATAAAGCAGAGGCTGTTCCTGAGGATTGCAGGAGATGGCGAAATGCTCTGACGTGCAGCTGGAGCTCCGGGCCTTGGAGCATGTGGTCCTGTCCGGTGGGGGCCGGTGCGGCTGGAAGAACATTGTGGCACATGGCAGGGCGGCTGCTCCTCACGCAGGCCCTGTGGCCCGTCCTGCCTGGCTGTGGCTGCCCTGCACGGCTCAGCGCTGCCCTTCTGGGGGCCTGGCTGGCGCAGGGAGGCGAGACCCAGGCCGCTGCGCGCTGGGGAGGGGTGCTGTGCGTGGGACAGTTCTCCCCCCGCCCCATCCCCTTGTCGCCGTCAGGCTTCCCAGAGGAGTAATTGCTGCCGGGTGGATAGGCAAGGGGCAAACGTTGCTTAAGTCCCATGGAGCTTGGCCAGAGCCTCCTTGTCTGTGAATCTAGACACTGGAGAGATTGTCGAAGTGTCTCTTGGGCACAGCAGGCGCAGGAGCTGAGACATCAGGCTGAGATCCTGGCGGATGTTCTGGCACTGCCACGGATGGAAGACAGGAGCTCCCTCCAAGCAGCAGGGCAGCGCTGGGTGGCAGATGGGCTGGGCGGGTCCTGTGGCACTGTCAGGAACACAATCCTGGGGATGCTGGTGTCGAGGGCAGGGCCGAAAGTGATTCCTGCAGGTTTTATGCTTGCACGGAGGCAAGAAGGGCAGTACCATGCATGTCTGTTTGCCAGTAAGCAGGACTCAGCACTCTCCGAGAACGCGCCAGGTACTAAGGCTCAGGTACTTGTCTCAGGCAAGCCTGAGCCGCACGGCTCCTCATGGGCAAGGCGTGGAGTCCGGCAGGGCGGAACTGCTCAGCAGCCCCCTGCCTGGGTTGTGCCCCTCGCCCAGCAAAGGGGAAGTTCGTGGTCCAGTCAGAAGCTGATAAGAATGAGTTCTCACACACAGCGTGGCGAAAGAGAGCCATTTCCAGTGCATGGCAGGGAAAAGTGCCTTCCTCTGGTCAGCCTCTCATTTGAGGTGAAAGCTTTTCCTCGCCAGGAGGCAGGTGGGGTTGGGCGAAGCTGGTGGGCAGGAGGAGGAACCCCCACAAGCCTTAAATGGTGCTCGGGCTTCTTGTCCCTACAGTTGAGGGCTGTCCACAGAAAACCTCCAAGTACATTTCACTCTAGTTTGCTGAGCCTTCACCAGACTAGCTGAACTCTCCAGGCCCCGAGGAAGCATGCAAAGGGATGCAGAATTTCCAGCAGCGACGGGGTCAGTTTGCTTTCCTTGCCACTTTGCTCCACTGTCTCCTTTTCAGGATCTTTGTGAACCGGAGCCTGGCACTGGAGAAGATCAAATGCTTTGGCTTTGACATGGACTACACCCTCGCAAGTGAGTAAGAAGGCTTGAGCATGGTCCCCCCTCACTTACTGACACTTTTACAGAAAGAGGCGGGCTGTGGTCAGGAGGTGACTCTCTGCATTTGGGTCGCGGTTCTGCTAAGAAACAGTCTGGTGGGACTTTGTGGACTCTGGGCCCTGGAAATGGTCTATGAATAAGCACGCAGCAGGCATGGGCTGCACCCATGGCTCCCTCATTCCGTCTCCGGGCCTGGGCCCATCTCAGCTTCCTTGGCTCCCAAGAAACTAAAGCAAGGCCAGTGGGACTTGCCAGTCAGACGGTGCTGCGGATCCGGGTGCCCTCACGAGGCTTCGTTGCTCCAGGGCTGAGTGGCACCTGGCTGAAGGCACTCCAGTCACCAGGATGAAATGGGGGTGGAGTGGGACACTTGGAAGACCCCAAACCCAAACACAGGCCTCAAGATGCAGTCCTTGAACCCTAACCCTACCCAAACCCTAAAATAGGGCTGAAATGCCCAGGCCTCAAGGCAGGGTTCCAAAATAGCAGCTTTGCAGAGATTTTTCTGCCCAGTGGATTTTTTTCTGAACTTTCTGAACACGTTCCAAGCCCCAACAGTCTCATGGTGCCCTTGGTTTTACTAACCCTAAACCAGGCCTAAAACCTAACCCTACTATAGGGCTAAAATATCCATGCCAGAGGATGGAGTTCCAGAATGCCCACCCATCCCAAGCCCCATCAGCTTCACTGATCTTGCTTTTAATAACTCTAACCCTAAACAGGGCCTAAAACCCCTTCCAAACAAATTTCTATTTTTTTTTCACCAAGTCCAGAATGAAAAGCTCTCTCAAATATCATACAGTCAGTCCTTGCTGACATATAAACTTTGATGATAAAATGAACAGACTTGGTTAACAGAATGTGTCTATTGTGTTTTCTTTGTAGACACCTTCTGGTTAAAGACTCTTCCAATGACACAAACTGACATGCATTCTTCTTTACTACAGCAGACGGAAATTGTGCAATTGATGGTCCTCTGTGAGGATCATGGTTTACTGGGAACTCCCCGTTCAGGGCAGCTTCTGCCCAAGCGTGCTGTGGAGAAATTGCAGCAGGGGCACTTGCCCTCTGCTCCTGGCCCAGGCATTTGGCCAGCGGCTGCCAAGGAGACAGAGTCCCCCTAGCCCAGCCTATGTCTCATCCAGTGATGTGACTCAGACCATGAGGGCTGCACACAGCTCCATTTTGCCTTAATCTGTGTGCTTGCTCTTGCTCTGCATTAAATGTTTGTGACGTTAAACCAGGAGAAAAAAAGACAGCGGCACGGCATTTTCCAGAAGGCACCAAAGTTACCCTGTGCTTACTTTGATTCTTGGGTGACGTGTTTCTGTGGGGTGGTCAAAGATGCCGCAGGAACATGCGTCGGCGCTGCTCTTTGCCTTCACAGTGTACAAGTCCCCGGACTATGAAGAGCTGGCATTTGAACTCTTGCTGGAACGCCTCGTGTCCATTGGGTATCCCCATGAAATCCTGGCGTACAAGTATGACCCCACTTTCCCTACCAGGTAAGGAAGGGCCTAGCTGAGCGAGCGGAGCGGAGGGGGACGCAGCGTGGCTCGTGCAGAGGACGACGACCTTCTCTCTGCCGCTCTCTTCCCTTCCTCAGGGGCCTGGTCTTTGATGCCCTGTATGGGAATTTGCTGAAGGTGGACTCGCACGGGAACCTCCTGGTGTGCGCCCATGGCTTCCGGTTCCTGAAGGGGTACGTAGGGTGTGCGGCCACGGGAAGCCCCCTCGCCTTGGCCCCCAGCTGTGGGCTTCTGCGGCTCCCCGAGCAAGGGTGGCCCCCTGCCGCCAGTCCTGCATTGCATGTACAGAGAGGGCTCTGGGGAGAAGGCAGGCGGCAGCGTCTCTCCTGGCAGGGCTCCCACAGCTGGGGCTGCCGGAGAGCAGTCTGCCTCACGGTGCTGCAGGTGCCGGAGAGGGCCGGGCCCTCGTTTGCGGCTTGTGCTTCTCCTAACCAGGTTGGGCCCGTGGCTGAGTGGAGGCTTGTGTGCCGCAGCTGCCCAGCCTTGGCCTGCCGGCCTGCCCCAACCCTCTGTACAGCAGGGCCCGCAGAGTCCTTCAGGGCGGGAAGTGGGAAACCGGGCCGCCCCCCTCCCCTCCCTCAGAGCAGCCAGCCTAAAGCAAACATTTGCCTGCCCGTACCTTTGAGCTCAAGCAAACACGGGCTCTTCCTTCTGCCACCCCTCTGCAAGCAGGACCGCGCAGCCCCTTCCCTGGCCGGCCACCCAGGGCTCAGGGCCAGGGGTGATCCAGCTACCCGTCAGCATTGGCCCCCCGAGTCCCCCCCCCCCCCGCCGGACCCCCGCCGCCCCCCCCCCCCCCCAGCTACCCTCCTGCTGAACCACGCATTCAGCTGCAGGTCCGCTGGGAGGGGCACAGGAGCCCCGGGGAGGGTTTGGCTCGAGCCTTCCTGCTGACAGTGGAGGGATCCATGGGGCTGGGGACTGGTTGGACCCCCTTCCCTGGGAAGAATGCCTATGGGGCATATGGGGGTCCTGAGACCCACCCCCTCCACCCACACTTGAGAGCCTGTCAGCCGCCGGGACTGAGGAGCCACCCAGGGATAGTGGCACAGCCTGGGTTCGGAAGGGCGTTTGGGGCTCCCAACGTGCAGCCCCCACCCTTCGGGGTGCTTCCCAGGCTCTCCTCCCACCGGCAGCAAAGTTACTTTTCGCTGAGGCCACAAACCCTCCAGGCAGCAGCTGGCTTGGGTCAAGTGGTGATCTGAGCACCCACCTGCTAGGCAGAGGCCTGCGGGGGGGGGGGGGACAGGGGGGAGTGGGGAGCCGCGGGCCTAAGGTGGGCATTGCCGTTTGAGGTGGGAAGGGAGATTTGGGTGAGGACAGGCTGCGCTGGCTGCCGCATGGGACCTCCATCCGGCACAACCGCTCCCCTGCTCACTGTGCTGTTTCCTGCTCCTAGGTCTGACCTCTGGAATTTCTACCCCAACAAGTTCATCCAGAGGGATGACATGAAGCGCTTCCACATTCTAAACACCTTATTTAACTTGACAGGTATGTGCAAGGGGCTTTGTGGGCCGAGGCAGCTCAAGGCACGCAGGCAGGGGCCTCGCTGGTCTCCAAAGCGTGGATTGGCGCAAGTGTCCCATGGGGCCAAAGCGAGCAGAGCTCCCCACACGGAGCCCCCAGTCCAGGCACAAAATGGAAACGCCTCTGTCGCAGTAGACGCTGCTCACCCCAAGGGTGCTGAACTGCACTGATTCTGACATGCATGAGAATAATGCACCAATGGGCTGAAATAACCCGATAGAAGTGGTTTGATCCTTCCATCCGCAGCTTGCTCGCATTACTTTTTTATTTATTCATTTGTACCTCAGCTTATTTTTCAAAGGTACACAAGGCAGCTTACGTAAAATCCAGAAAAGACAAAACAAGGTAAAACAGGACCTACAGACAGACAAGAAAAATCAATTGAAGCAAGAAAAACTGATTAAAGCAAAACAGTTTAGAACAGAGGCAGAATGCACAATGAAATCACGTTCCCAAAGATGAATACTCAAGCAACGCCACCGTCCCCCATCCGGAGGCCAATGGTTGCCGCTGTCCAAATCCAGCAGCCGGAGGGCCGGCGATGCCTCCTCAGTCCCTCCTGCAGCTTCTGCCTTCCTTCACCAGAGCAGCTGAATGTTTCACCGCCGGCGTGTGTCTTTGCTCCCAGTCAGGGTTTCGGAGCAGCAACTCCTGGTGCAGAAAGCTCCACGTCTCCCCTCTCCAGCTGCTGCCGCACGTCTGAGTTGGAGGCGAAGGGCTCCCAGGTCCCGAAAGGCATCTCTGGACACTCCTGGGCCCGGCCTGGCCACTGATTGCTGCAGCCCCCGCTCCACCCTGGGGTTCACCTGCTCCCCTCTGCAGCACATGCCGGGCTCCTTCCCGGGCGCTCGCTGACCTGTGCTGTCTTTCACCTTGCAGAGACCTACCTCTTTGCCTGCTTGGTGGACTTCTTCACCAGCTGTCCCAGATACATGAAGTGAGTGTGCTTGATTTTGCCCTCCCTCCCTGGGCGTGACCTGATGCTTCCTCAGGGTAGGGGTGGGGAGGGGCTGGGCTGGGCTGGGCTCAGGAGAAGGGGCTCCCTGCTGGGGGACTCCTTCAGGGTCCTCTTCGGTGTGGCTGCCGCACTCACTTTCATGCTCTCCAAATGATGCCAGAGTGGAAGTGCCCTTTTACCCAGTCAAGGAGTATGGGCGGGTGGGGGAAGGAAAAGCCCTTCCGGTGGCAAGAAGAATGGAGGGGGAACCAGAGTGAAAAGGAGCAGGCAGAGTTTTGACCTCCAAAGCACAAGGGAGTGACCCTCTGAGCCTTTGCTCCCTACAAAGCTCCCTGGAAGATCTTGGCCGCAGGAGGCCTCAGCGCTGCCTGCCTGAAAGGGGTTTGGCTGCCTGACCCTTTCTGTGGACCGGTCACACTCGCCTTGCCACCCAGGGCCCTCTGAAGGCCAAAGGCAGCATTTGCCAGACAAAGCGCCGCCTCCAAAGCTGCTGCCACCTCCTTCGTATCACCTGCAAGTACCAATCGGCGCATGCTGGATTTTCCTGGAATTCTGTGGAAGTCTGTCCCAGGTCCAGGGCTTGGTTCTGCTCGCCGTGGGAGGGCTCCATCGGTGCCCCTGCTGCCCCTGACCCTGCGCTGTTCCTTACCCCCACAGTTGCGACACCGGCTACAAGCATGGCAACCTCTTCATGTCCTTCCGCAGCATGTTCCAAGATGTCAGGGAAGCCATGGACTACGTGCATCTCTCGGTGAGGAAGGGAGGACCAGGGGCCGGCGGGGGGGTGGGGGGCGGCAGCCTGCCGTCTCGGCTGGCTGAAAACTACACGGGAGCAGCGCCCACATTTCAGAATGTCAGGTTATGGAAGCAGTTTATCAGGCAGGGGGGCAGAGGAGTCCCTCGTGATCTGCTGCCAGGAATTACCCAAAACACTGTTCCTTGATCTTTCAGCATGGCGGATTCCATCCCCTACTGCCCATGCTGTCTGCCCAAAGCAAGCAGGTGATTCTCCACACGAAAGAATAAACAGGCACCAGTCCGACGTAGCTGTGGCACGAGAAGGGGACATTTCCCTTTCTTGGAACAGGCAGACACGCTGCTGTGGCCCCCAAGCAAATTTGATTTCCCTGGGCTCACACAACGGGCTCATAGGCGACTGCAGGTCGTTGTGACGTGAAAACACAGAATGGGCTCTTCGGGGTGGCTTCCTTTGGCTTATATGCCACTCTGATAACTCGGGGCTCGTAGCTGGTTTTCTCCAACCCACAGGGGCTCATCATGTCAAGCCCAGCTGCAAGTGAGCCGCTTGGCAAGAGTGGCAAAAACCTTGGGCAGAAAGCTTGCCCAGATGGCCAAGAGGCAGTGTGTGGGCACTCAAGGTGCTGGGCAAGGCTCCTCTCCCTCCTGGGACAGCGGCTTCCTTCAGGTGTTGGTGCAAAAGATCGGCCTCGTAGCACTTTGCGAATCCCGCTCGTCAGGCAATTTCAGGGGGGCCGGGGCAGGGGCTTGCTTGTTTTTCCTGAGCGGAATTCCTCTTGCCCCAGGCTGCCATCCTCTTCTAAGTGTGGCTAACTGGGGACACATGAAGTTGCCCCCACAGATCCAAGGAGCATGTAGAAAAAGCTGTTTCGGTGGCCACTCCTAAATTGTCTTGTTTTCAGTAGGCCCCCCGGACTCTTTGCAGGGGTGCTCTCAGGCCCCGGGTGCAGCGTTGCTCTTATCCCCTTGCTGGTGGGGAACAGAAATGATTTGGTCATGCTCTCCCTCCCTCCCTCCCTCCCTCCAGCTATGTATATCCCACGATTCGCAATGCAAATGCTTCCAAGATGTAGGAAAACTCGGAGGGGAAAGTGGGAGAGGGAGGCCTCTTCCTGGCTGCTGCTGGACACAGGATGCCTGCATCTGCCACCAGCTGTTGCAGGCTGTGCTGAAGCAGGGACTGTGCTCGCGGGCCAAGCTGGGTGTGGCACTGGCCTTCTGGACTGCACACTGGGCATCCTTTCTGGGGCAGGCAACTCCTTGGGGCAGGGAACTCATGAGGCTTTTGTGCTGTTGTCGTAGGGTTGCCTCAAGGAGAAGACACTGGAGAACCTGGAGAAGTACGTTGTGAAAGATGTGAGTGCGGCCCAGCTGGGAGTGGAGAACCGCTGGGAGCCAGAAGGCTCGCCGGGCTCTGCATGGGCTCCATGGGGAGGCCCCGCTGTGCCTCCTGCCGCTGCCTCATCTCAGCCCCTTTCCTCCCAGTCAGCCCAGCCTGCTGGGTCAGCTCAGGCGAGCCTCCGGTGCTGGCGTGTGGGACACACGGGCCCAGCTCCATGGCAGTCACTTGCTCAGACTGTTGAATGCAAGCCCATTTTTCAAGATCTCAAGGTGATCCAAGGAAGGGATGCAACTTTCCTCAAAGATTGGCTTCCGCCCCCTGCCAAGTGGACTGGAAAGCACTGGTCCAGCCCCACAGCCGACTCATCTCCCCAGATTCAAACTGTTGGGGCTGCATGGCCACTTGCTGGCTTGGGGCACTGCCCCAGTGGCTAGAGATGGTACTCGTGGGTTCTAATTGCTCCTCTTTCACACAGCCACGCGTTCCTCTCCTGCTAAGCCGAATGAAGGATGTGGGGAAGGTGTTCCTTGCCACCAACAGTGACTATAATTACACAGATGTGAGTCCCCCCACCCCGGTTTCTCTATTTCTCCTGGCTCCCTTCATGTCCAGCTCAGCACAGGGCAGAGAGGGGTGGGACGCAGCTGGAGGCACAGCAAGATGCCCTCTTCTGTGGCCGAGCAGGTACCTTTGCTGGGTGAGGGGAGGGCCACACGCAGGGAGGGAGCAGCAGCCCCCTCACTCTGGCTCCAGCTCCGCTCAGCCTGGGCTGGACCTGAGACTTGGTGCAGAGCAGCTGTCACAGGATGGGCTTCTGTCTCTGTAGGCAATCATGACATATTTGTTTGACCTCGGTGAAGATGTGGTGAGTTGTGTGTGCATGGATGTGCGTCTGTCCTGCCCTTCCACCTGATGGCTTCCCAGGCACTGCTCCTGGAGTGACCCCCCCCCCCAGCCTCTGGAGGTGCAAGCTGAGTCCGGCCTGGCTCTTGCATGCCAGGGTGCTGCATGGGGGCGGGGGGAGAGGCAGCTGGGCACTCACTGCTGCTCCACGACCATGGCCTGGGTGGAGAGAAGCTCCCCGTCATGCTGGGAGCTGGCTTGGTGGATATGCCCCGAGAATGGGACATCCCTGGGGTTCCTGCCACCTGCCCTCCAGATGCTCCCCGGTGAGGGCAGAGGGGCTGGCTCAGCTGAGGAACCCTGTTCTCGGAGCATCCGTGCCACACCGGATCCCAGCTGCTGCTGGAGTGGCTTTTCCCCGTGGGTGGGGGACTGAGGTGGAGGGGGACTCCCCAAGGCCGGCCGGTGCGGCTGGGCCAAAGGTGAGGCATGCGTCTGTGACGGCCAGATCGGCACTCCGGGCGCTGTACCGGGCTGGGCTTGCCTGAACTCTCCCATCCCCGCAGGACAAAGCCCAGCACCGTCCCTGGCGCTCCTATTTCGACCTGATCGTCGTGGACACCCGCAAGCCCCTTTTCTTCGCTGAAGGGACGGTCCTGCGGCAGGTCAATACGGTATGTGCCCCTCTGGAGCCAGCCAAGTGGAGCAGGGCAGGGGAGGATTTCGCAGAGCTCTCCCCACAGAACCAGCGGGCAGCCCCCACTGCTGAGCGGTGGCAGAATCTCTTGCCCGTGAAGGATGGGAGCTGCCCAAGCAGCAGCAGGAGGCTGCCCTCTGGGGTTGGCCTACCCTCAGGTGGGGCTGCTGCCACCCAGGCTGCCCCCATTCACCCTTTGATATCTAACCCACCCTATCAGCCATGCAGCTTCCTGGGTGGTTTGCAACCATAACACCACATAAAACAGTATGAAAACACAAAAGAGCAAATTATGATAAAACAGTAAAACAACAACCATGCACCCAACTTAACAGAACTAGTGGTTTCATAAAAGGCAGGCTGCATTATTAAAATACCTTTAAAACAGGTTAACAATTAACATACCAGCAAAATGACAAGGTCTTTGCCTGGTGCCCAAAGGAGTGCAAAGAGGGCGCTGGGCTAACCTCTGTGGGGGCTCATTCCCCAGTTGGGGTGCAGGGCAGGCCATGGGATCTGCAGGGAAGGGAGTGGCTGGAGTCCCCGCCTGCTCCCGAGCGCTTTCTTTGCCCAGCGTGACGTCTTCTCTTTGTGTTCAGGACACTGGGAAACTGCGGATCGGCACCTACACAGGACCCCTCCAGCACTGTGCGGTCTACTCTGGAGGTAAAGCCTCTCGGTCGTGTCCCCCCCCCCCCCCCGGGTTGGGACTCTTTCGGGACTCCTGACCCCACTCCACTGAGCCAGCAGGGGCTGGACTGGGGGAAGGGAACGGAAGATGCAAACGCAGCCAGTTTTGCCTGCCTCCCTCTCGTTCCAGGCTCTTCAGACATGGTGTGTGACCTTTTGGGAGTCAAGGGCAAGGACATCCTCTACATCGGAGACCACATATTTGGTGATATCCTCAAATCCAAGAAGAGGCAGGGCTGGCGCACCTTCCTGGTGGTGCCAGAACTGGCCAAGGAGCTGCAAGTGTGGACAGAGAAGAGCGGTGAGGCCAGAAGCACTGGCGGCTGGGGGGGCGCGGTGGAGCGGGGACTGGCCGCGGCCTCCCACGGGGCTCCCCGCGGGACCTCCAGCGGACTCAGGAGCTGCCCTTCAGAGGCGGCTTCTCTCTCCCCCTCACAGAACTCTTTGAGCAACTGCGGAGTCTGGATGTCCTCCTGGCTGAGCTGTACCAGTGAGTGAGCCCAGTGTGTGCGCCGGGGAACGCGAGACCTGTCCTGGACAGGCAGCCCAGATGCTGACTCTGGAGCGAAGCTGGCGGGGGGGCTGCGGCCGCTGTTGTTCAGAGCAGCTCTCCTGGCTCGCTGGGCTTGGCAGGGCGGGTGCTCCCAACCCTCGGAATTGCCCAAGGAGCCACCCTCCTCCCCCCTGCAGTGGAAGCCATGATCCTGGACTCTTGGAGGACAGGAGAGCTCTTGCTTCACCCAAAGGGCAGCTGATTATTTGCGCTATTTATGCTTTCAGCAAGTCAGCAAATAAGCTCCCCGCTTGCCACTCCCAGCCATCTTTAGGAGAGCTTTCCCCAACTTGAGCTCCACCAGATGGTGTGGCTTTCAAGCCTAGCAGGCCTTGAGCTGGGGAAGGCTTAGCAGTGGCACAGGTGCGAGCAAGAGCAAGGCCAGTCCGACCTGCCTGTCTGTGGCAGGTGGGGTCTCTGCCACCTCTAGGGGGACATGGGAGCTCAGGGCACCGGGCAGCTGGACAAGCGACTGCCCCACTGCAGGGCAGCTTCAAGCCGGTCGTCCTGGGGGGTTCTCTCTGGAGATGGGGCTGTGTCCTTCCCGTCCGTTGTTCGTGTCTTGCTTGGCAAAGCTCGGGGTGAATCGGGCTTCACCACACTTCCCCGGCTGGGTGGAAGAAGGACGTACGGCCATCTTGGCGGCGGGAGCGTGCCGCGTGGGCAGGACGGTGACGGCCCCAGCCACCGCCTGCTTGCGAGCGTGTCAGCGTGTGGGTCGGGCAGGGGAGCTGGGCTAGTGGTCGAAGCGCTGCCTTCCTCCACGTGGGCCGGGCCAGGTGGGGCTCTTCTCAGAGATGCTGTTTTTTCCAGGCACCTGGACAGTGGAAGCAGTGAGCGCCCAGACATCAGCTCAATCAAGAAGCAGATACAGGTCTCCGTTCCCCCCAGACCCGGCCCTGCCCCACGCCCTGACGGGGCCCATCATTTGGGGGCTCTGTCCAGCCAAGGGCTTCTTGAAGCCAGAGCTTTGGAGAAGGAGGACGGCGGAGGCTGCACCTCCCTCCCCGTCCTTGCGCTCTGGTCCCCACGGTCAAGGCTGGAGGCCCGGCTGGCGTGGCTTTTTCACAGCAGCTCGGCAGGGAAGGGTGCCTCACGCAGGCCGCCAGCCATGGGTGGGTCCAGTTGTCCAGCCTTGGAACTGGGCCTCTGAGAAGTCCCGGCGCCACCTGGCCCAGCCTTCAGGTTCTGTGGCTGCATGGTGAAGGGTGCCCCGGCTCTCCCTCTTCTAGAAAGTCACACATGAGATGGATATGTGCTACGGGAAAATGGGCAGCCTCTTCCGCTGTGGCTCACGCCAGACGCTCTTTGCCAATCAGCTGATGCGCTATGCAGACCTCTATGCCGCCTCCTTCGTTAATTTCCTGTATTACCCCTTCAGCTACCTCTTCCGGGCCCCACCCACCCTGGTACGTGCATGGAGGCCCAAGGGGGTGCTGGCAAAAGGGGGGGGGCCCTTTCCCGGCCCTGGGTGGGGACTCCAGGGCTGCACCAGGCCTTCTCTGCGGTGGCCCCTGGAAGCCCCCCCCAGTGCTCTGCGGATGGCACTGGGGCCCTTCCTGGCGGGGGCCCCTGCCCACCTCTGCAGGGGCCAAGTTGTGCTGCCCAGGCCCGGCCCCTTCCTTGTGCTCCCACCGACCGCACTGCGCTCCTTCCTCCGCAGATGGCCCACGAGTCAACCGTGGAGCACGCCCGCGTGGAGCACAGCGAGGGGGGACTCCTCCCAGGGCACCACATGCAGCACGTGAGTCGCGGCCTGCGCTGCGCTTCCTCCTTTGCCACCGCCGCAGCCCCCTCTCTCGCTGCCTCTCGGCCACCCTCTGGCTTGCCTGGCCAGAGGACGCTTGGGCGCCCCCCCGGCCCCGCTGGCTTGGCCCAGGCCTGAGAAACAGGGAGTGGCGACAGGCCCGAGCGCACGCAGGAGTGGGTTGGGCACCAGCCACAGTTGGACTGAAGTCAACAGGCTGCAGGGGCAGACCCACAAGGCGGCCTGGTGGCGAACGAGGGCAGGCACTCACCTGTCATGGGTTTCTTCAAATGACCCTCGCTTCCCCCGAGCGCCTGCTGAGGCTCGCAGTGCCGTTTCGGCACACACGCTGGGCCACATCTCGCTCTCTCGGGGCCCGCCCTGAACCCCCCACAGCCGTCCTTCCCTGCGGCCTCAGCTCTCTGGGACTGTTCCTGTGCCTCGCCCCACCTCCTGCATGCACTGACGTGGCTGGACGTGGCTGATGGGGAGGGCAAGCCTGACAGTGGGATACGGATGGGTAGCTTTGCTTATCTCCGTGTTTTACATAAAATCCTCATGGGCTGTATGTCTCACACAATCCTAGAAGAGTGGGCTTGAGAGGGGGCAAGGGGGCCCCCGGGTCCAACGCCGAGTCACGCCATCGCACTCAGGCTGCCAGTTTCACCTTGAATGCCTTCCCCGGAGTGGGGGAGCCCACGACCTCTGCAGGCAGCTGGTTCTTGCTCTTGCATTCCCTGCCACTTAACCCATTTACCTGCCCACCACTCCGCTTCATTCGTGTGCCACACTAGCCACCTGAGGAGAGCGATTCACACATTCTGCAGACCACAAAAGCTCTCCCGTAACACGTCATGCAGCTGCGGAAGCCGCATTTGTCTGTGGCAGGTTTGGGCAACTTAGAGACTGTCTCTCTTCTCTCAGAAGCTTCAGGAACACGGGGACGATGAGGACACTGACAACTGAATCACACCAAAATGTGATGCTGAAGGAACTGTGGTGCTTGATTTAAGCTGCTGGCAAACAGAAATGGAGACTGAGAACACCACCCAGCCCCACAAGCCACCCCATCTCGTGAAGCACCCACAGGACTTCCAGGGCGGACCAAGGATGCCACTCAGCTCCTCAGCAGGAACGCTGGCCTATCTGACCCACAGGGCCTTGCAGGAGGCATCCAGCAAGACCCTTCTCCACTGCTGCTGGACTTTGCACAAAGCCATCGAGAGCTGAAGAGCCAGAATTGGCCCAACCCTCCAACTGCCGCCTTCTCACACTTCAGGAAAGGGCTCTGCAAGCCGTCTGTGCTGCATCTTTGCATGACCACTTCCAGAAACAATCAGCAGCAAAGCAAACCAATACAGGACCGGCTTCCTTCCTCCTGAGCGCTAAGAATTGAGAGCTAAAACAGAAGCCAGCATGAGAGACTGACACCAACTTGGCTTCCAACCCAAGCCTTGGTCAACCCTCCCTCCACCAGGGCATGGGGGCACGCTCTTCCTCATGCTCCCTCAAGGGTCTCTGGAGACGTTGAAGCGCTCTTCCCGCTGACTCAAGCTTGCAGAACTCTGGACTGAAGCTGCCAGAGCTGGGGCTGCCCACTGGCTCGGTGGAGATGCTCAGATGCATGATGGCAGCAGCTCCCCCAAAGTCCCAAGGAGTCCCACGGGGCGAGCAGCTGCCTGTTCTAGAGGAGCAAGGGAACCGGGCACGACATGGAATGGCTCTGGGAGGGAGCCGATTCTGGGCTGAAGGGTCCTATGGCAATAGCCCTGAGGGAAATTTTGAAAAATGAAAGCCAGGCCAAGGGAGAGTTCTCCACTGAGAATTGTGGAAGAGAAATTAACCCAGCAGCTTCTCCAGCCCTAGAAATCTACCCGGGATGACAACCCAGATGCCATGCTTGTCCTGGGAGCAAATCTGACAGGGAGGTTTAGCAATGCTCTGCCCACAAAACCAGCCCCCCCCCATTCCGGAACATGGGGGGGGGCGGCAGAGCAACCCAGCCTGCAGCACCGCTCCGCCCGCCTGTGCCAGGGCTGCAACGGTGCTCCTCCGAATCTGTCCATCTGGCACTGACGGACTTCCTCTTCTGCTGGGCCCACCTTAGAAAGCCGCCAAGTTGAGAAGCTCAGGGACTCCTGGAGAGCGAGGGCTGCACAGCCAGCAGCCTTCCTGCACCGCACGTGGCACAGGAGAGATGCCACTTGCTGAGTGGTTGTGCAGGCCTGGATCCCTGGTGCGTGCTGGGAATACAGGGCACACTTGCCTGGAGTGTGGACTCCGGGCAGCAGCAAAGAGCGGAGCGTGGGGAGCAGGCCCAGGGGAGCCAGCAGATTCCTCGGCATCCCTGCCTGTGCCCGCCCAAGAGGGGCCCGGAGGGCACTGGGCAAGGAACAAGGGCTCGTCTCCCTTCCACAAAGGCAGCTGCTCATTCGTCGCTTGTGGCCCTTGGGCAGCCAGCCCTCTCCTGGTGAGACCGGGGCACTGCCCTCATGCATTTCCTAAAGCAACCCAAGCCGCAGATCCGCTCCAGAGATTCGAGCATGGAAAGAGAAGCCGAAATTCTGAAAGGGTCTGTGTCGAGCGCTGTTATGTTTCCAGCCGATTTATGCCAGGAAAAACGTAACATGTGAAAAGCCCTGCTGGATCAGGCAAAGGTCCATCTAGTCCAGGACTCTGGTCACACGGTGGCAAACCAGCTGCCCGCAGCGTCCCTCAGGCAAGAGGGTGCAGGCCCCCTGCCCAGCTCCTCAGCACCTGCTGCACACAGGTATGCCCCTCTGGTCCAGGAGGGAGCCCACAGCCAGCAAGGCCAGTAGCCACCTGTTCTCCACCGTGCAACTGTCCAGCCCTCTTTAAAGCCGTCCAGACTGGTGGCCACCCGCAATTCCCTTGGTAGCAAATTCCCTGATGTGAACGATCCACCGTGTGAAGGCGGCTTCCTTTGATCTCTCCCAGACTTGCCCCCCCTCAGCTTCATGGCATAACCCCAGATTTGACTGTTATGGGGGAGGGAGAAAAGCGCCTCCCTCTCAACACAGTGCATTACTTTAAGCACCTCTTCCGTGTCTCCTCTTTCTCGCCTTCATTCGAAGCTGAACAGGCCCAGCTGGAGCTGCTCCTCACAGGGAGGGAGGCGCCTCGGCCCCTTCCTGCCCTTCTCTGTATTTTTCCAACTTAATAAAGTTCTTTTCCAGGTAAGGTAACCAGAACTGCACCCAGTATTCCAAGCGCTGTTGCACCAAAGATTTATGTAAACAGCATATGATCCTGACAGTTCTGTTTCCCATTCCATTCTGAATTACACCAAGAACAGAGCCTGCCTTCTTCACAGCAGCTGCCCATGGGGCCGGCGTGTCCGTTGAGCTGCTCGGTGCCCCTCTGAGATCCCTTTCTTGCTTAGGGTGAAAGCGTCTGCAGGGGAGAGGGCTCACTGCTCTGCGCTGCGGCCCTGTGAGGAACGGCAGCGTATTTGGGGTGCTGGGTGGCCTCTTCTCTGAGGGACTGGAGTTCAGCCACCAGCCCAGCAAGATCCACCTCTTCAGGCAAAGCTGTGTTGCTGCGGAACACAAACTGCCCCCCGCTATCCAGAACGTCGCTGAGGGAAGACACCACAGGATCGTGGTCCTGCAGCATTGGAGGGTAGCAAGCCAGAGCCCCCTCAATTCGTAGAGACCGTCGCACAGGGGTGACCAGTTTTGTGTCAGGCCTCACGCTGGGGTCCTTTGCTCTGAAAGACACAGGACAGAGGGAGGGAAGGAGGGAGAAGCTCGTCTCCTTGCTAAGCCTAGACATTTCCCCTGCAAACCCATCTGGTTACGGGGACCAGCGACTAGTGCCTTTGAACTTCATTGCACAGAAAGCTTTCTTGCTTCTGGGGTAGCTACAGTCCAGCCAGTGTTCTCCACTGGACTTCACAATTTTCTTTTGGCAATTACCACTTTTTTATGAGGGGAGACAGAAAGATGCTTCAGTTAAGACATACAGTCTCTTCTCCACCCAATTATGATTCTAGGTAAGGGGAAGGCAACATGGTGTTCTCCAGATATTTTGGCCCCTGGCTTGTTCAGCCTCTGACTGTCGCCCATTCTGCCCAGGCCTGATGAGTCCCTAGCAAGCTGAAGGCGAGCAGGAGGCAGATCAAGCTACTCAGAGACTGACCAGCAGAGCGAGGCCTACCTCCTGTTCACCTTTAAGCCACCTGTGCCCGACCCCACCAAGCACCAGCACAACACAAGCAGTTACGCAGGTCAGGAAGGGTGGCTTGGGGCTCCTCCTGGCTGGGCAGGGCAGGGCAGCAGAGACCAGGGAGCTGAGCAGGCGAGGCCTTCCCGCCTGGGTCAGCCACCGACAGGGCGAAGAGGAAGGGTGCCAGGGTGCGTGGCCCTTACCGAAGCAGTGGAACCACCTGCAGCTTGACCGTGGAGCAGGGCTTGTGGGCTCGACCTTGCGTGGCTTGCCTGGGACTCTTCTTGGAGCCTGGAGTGGCTGGGAGGAAGTGGCAGGAAAAACGGGAAGAAACAGAAGGTGATTCTGGAAGACGGCAGGGTGCAGAGAAAGAGCCCTCGAGAGGCGCATGTGGGTAACTTTCTAAGACCCAAAAAGAAACTGTCAAAATCTAGAGCACACTCAAAAGTGGACATTAAAGTCTGTTCAACCAAAAACAGTAGCCATTAAAAGGGAAGCAGTGCAGGCGACACTGCTGTGTTCAGCAGAGCAAAACTCCAGCTGCAAGTCTGGCCCTGGCTCCTCACGCCCAAGGTAGCCACCTGCCTCTTCAGGATGTTGGGACAGAGGCCCTGGTCCAGGGGTGCCCTCCAGAGGTTTGGCATGGCATTCCCTGGGCAATATGGCCAAAGGCCAGGAGATGCTACGGTGGCTGTGGACCAAAACCTCTGGAAGTTGCCCGGCTCTACTCCTTTGCCCTCATTCTAGTTTAGAAAACCAAAGGTATCTTGCAGAATTGAGGCAGACGTTCAGTGCCACCTGCTCCACTTGTTCAAGCTAGTCAGCACCGAGCTCCCTCGCATTTCCAAATAGCTGAAAAGTCTGTTTTCCCAGAAGCTCCAGCACATTGCTTACCCAAAATTGCCTTGCTTGTGTCCTTCAAAATGCCAGCAATGATGGTCCTCAAGTCCTGCAGCGGCTGGAAGAAAAGCAGAGCAGAGCTTCGAGAACAGCCTCCGTACCAGGGCAAGCCCAGCTGCTTTCGGAGCCGGTTTCCTCACACCCTCCCCCTGCGGCAGCTCTGAGCAAGCACGCCAAACAGCTCCTTGTCAGCAGTCAGGGCTCACAGGCGTAACTGGTGAACAGTCCAGGCCGAGTGTGAGAGCAGAACTCCAGCTGGGCTCAGGAGTCTTCCCATTGGAGTTGAAGCTGCTTGCCCAAGAGGTCATTCAGGCCCAGCGGAAGGCCATCGAGGCCTAGGACTTCTGCAAGGCGACCCAGGGCTAGCAGCCCCCCGGGCTTCCGGCCTCGAGCGGTGATACAGGTGCAGCCTAGAGAAGATCCTTTCCAGGCTTCAGAACCCTGATCTGCAGTGTACCCGCCTCCCATTGCCACTTCTACACGCTTGGAGGGCGGGGGGAGCTGGGGCACACGCAAACGCGACCAGATGGCCAGCACACAGGATCGTTGGCTTGGCGCGCCTGAGACAGCGCTACTGCTTGCTTTTAAGCAGCCCGTCATCTGCAGGCCCCACAACTGGCCTTCCTGAGCCAAGCAAGCCATTTTGCTGCACTGCACAGCAAACTCCCCGTTGCACGCGAGGCACAATGTCCCCACTGAACAAAGCACTCGGGCCTCACCAGCAGCTGAGCGCCACTCACCGCTGCCCCAGCGCCAACAGCCGCTTCATACAGCCCCACCGCGTCGAACGCGCCTCGCTGTGCCAGCAGCTGCGCCTTGCAGATCCAAAACTGGGCAAATTTCTCCACCTCTGGGATACAGGAAAGCTTAGCAAGGAGCGCTTCTGAAGAAAATCCCTGAGAAACATCGATGGGGAGGCACAGGAAGAGAAAAAAAAAGCTAAGCTCAGAGGTGATTGTCCTGGGCGTGAGTCTAGACTGGCCACAGCTGGCCACTGCTCGTGAAGGGCACTTTGGGCTTCGGCTCATACCTGTAGGGCAAGGAATGCAGAGCCAGCCAAGAACAGGCAGGGCAACCTGTTTGCCTAAATCCAAGGCGAATTCTTCTCACAACTGTAGTGCAGCATTAGCACCACAAAGGCAAGCCCCCAGACCAGGTGGCAGTTCCCCGGCCCCTGCTGGGATAAGCCTGAGTCCAGGAGGAGACTCACCACCCTGGGCTAGCCAGTTCAAGGAATGCCAAGATCAGACCTGAGGCACTTCCCTTAGAGAGATTAGTCAAAAGGACTCTGCAAAGAGGATGGCTGCTGTCTTGAGACACCAGGAAAGCACTGCAGCGATATCAGCCAGCAAACACAGGTAAAGAACTCACCCTTTCACCCACAGAAAGCAGACATGGTCACATCGCAGAGAGCAGTCGAAAGGTCATGAAGAAACACTTAAGCACATATCCAACAACTGGCTTGTCTGGGAATCAACAGGAACCTCCCCGTTCCCCACAGAAAGGGTCAGGGACTTAGCTCTGCATCCGGGCTGAGCGACCCAGCCTGGAAGGCGGCGTTTTTGCACCTGTCTCCAAGTGTCATCAAATTTAATTGTTCCTCAGAGCAAAGAACGTTTGCCTTGCAGAAGTTCTGCAAGAAACGGGCAGCCTGAACCGCTTGCAGATGCGCCTTGCAAGTCAGTGACTTTCAGGCAGTGGATGCTCTTGTAACAGGCAAGATCCATGGCTCTAGTTGCAGGACTGCCTGCGTTCTCTTGCCCAGGTTCCCCACAAACTCTTGGAAATTCTGAATCTTGCAGCTGCAGTTTTTCAGGACTTCTCCCCTCATCTGTTTGCTGTGGGGAAAAAACCTGGAGCCCCTTTGCTCTCAAGGTCAGCTATATCTAAAGGATCCGGGGGGTCAGACTAGATGGCCCGGAAGGCCCCTTCTGACTCACTGTTTCTATGATGTGGGAAAGGAACAGTGGAGGTAAAGCAGAGACTGTGTCTCCCCCTGCTTCTGTCACAAGAAATGCTTCCCAGTGACACCCTGGCCAGGCCAGGCCAGGCCAGACCAGACACCCCCACCAAGCCCACCTCTTCAGCCAGCTTCTGGCACTCCGTCAGGATGCTTGTGGTCTTAGCCGCTAAGCTGAGCTGCTCCCTCTCCTCTCCCTGCTTCTCTTCTGGGCAGTTCCAGGAGAGCTTCTGGTTCTCCTTTTCCTTTGGCAGCCTCTGGGCAGGCAAGGTCATTGGTGGCCGCTTGTAGCGCTTCCCCCGGGATGCCAACCACTGCTCCAGGAGGTGCCTGATGAACATAAGGTGACTTCATTAGGTTGCTACATTTAGACCATGGCCATCCTCATGGGCTGCAGCTCCCAGGCCGATTCTGGTTCCTTGCTCTGTGGCTCTGAGGGGTAAAGAAGCCAAGCAAGACTTAAAGGGCTGAGATGAGGCGAGGTCACCCTTGACTGGACAAACACTGGCTCCCTTGGCTAGGAAATGGAGATGAGCACCACCCCCAAGAGTCAGGCATGACTGTTCAAAGGTAGGCTGGACATGCACATGGAGGGCATGTTGTGAGAGAAGCCGGCTGGAGCTGGGGTCAGACTAGATGGCCCGGCAGACCCCTTCTGACTCGCTGTTTCTATGATATGGGGAAACCTTAGCCTTTATACATTTTATATCCTGATCTTCAACCAGAAACTCCAGGACAATTGCCCCTACACATAAAGTTATCATGAGCAGAAGAGGTATGCCTGGTTGACTCCCAGAAGTGCCCAGGCGCAGGCAGAGGGTAGACTTGGAGATGCCTTGCTTCCCCTCCTGATTCCTTGCTGTCAGTGGCTTACAGAAGTTAAAGTCCAGAACTCCTCTAGAGACCTTCCGCCTTCCCCTGCAACTTGCTCCTTCCAAATGGAGAGTGTGGAACACATGTCTCCACTTTCTGCCACCTGCTCTGATGTGCAGCGCTGAGCAAACATTCCAGGGACGCTCCTATTGGAAGTACACCTGAGGGGGGGGGGGTTGGTTGCTGGAAGGCATGAACTGGGTTCTGGAGGGGTTTGGCATGTCCTCACACGAGTTTGCTTGAACAGCCCCCAGACAGGACACCAGCCCGCATGAGCAAGCACTGCACACTCTGGGCCCAACTTGCCTCCTATCCTGCTGGCACGGAGTCCTGGGTGCTTGGCCTGCCCCTGCCGGGAGCGGCCTGGACTTGGGTGTGCGTCCCCAGCACCTTGGAGAGCCCGTGACCGCGCTTGCTCTGCAGCCGGAGGAGCCCGTGTGTCTAGACGGCAGGGCGATGGTCCTGGCTGCCTGCTCCGGCACCTTGCTGCGGTGGTCCCCCTCTGCCGTGCCCCTGTTCCCGCTGATGGTGCCATACGCTGCCGAGCGGCCACCCCCAGGGGAGAGCCTTGGCTTTCGTCTCAGCCCCACAGAACGAACGGGACACACTCTGTCATGCAGGGCCAGCCAAGCTTTGCTCTGATGCTTGGACCGTTCTCTCCGAGAAAGGTTTGGAGCTGACGGTGCAGCTTTTTCCTTAGCAGAGAAAGGGCTGCCTCTTGCAAGCGCATCAGCAGCCTCGGATGCCTTTGTCACCCTGGGAATCTGGCCTTGGCTTTTAATTACTGGCCTAGAGACAGCAGAGGACCAGCCAAGCTGTGAGGGGGGCCGCACCACAGAGATGCAAGGGACCTGCGAATCAGCCATCTGCTCAGCCTGTGCCTGGCACCTTCCAGCCAAGTTTCCCCAAGTCTGTCTGCTCTTCTTCAGTGGCTGCTTTGCGCTGTCTTGGGACGTGGCTTTGTGGCTGAGCCTGGACATCCCCCTCTGCTGAAGCGGCAAGCCAGCTTTGGCCCCAGAGTTCTGACATTCCACCTTCTCTTGATGGCTCTTCGAGCGACAGCTCCAGACCTCAAGGCTCCTTGCAGTCCTGGGCAAAGCGTCCAATTCCTGCTTCTCAGATTTTCTCAGATGGCATGAATGGCGCTTGGCGGGTGACACTGCACTGCTTTTAGAATGGACTTTAGCAGAGAGCTTTGAAGACACAGGAAGTGAGGTTCTCTTTCCCAGAACCTGTTCGGCAGGGGCTGCCCTCTTAGCCTTCTGTAATGGTGCCTTTCTTGATATGCTCGAGATCTGGCATCGAACAGCCTGGAAACAGAGAAGACATGCAAACAACCATTGTAAACTGCAAAACTATGTGAGCCACATTCTCTTTCATAGAATTATAAGAGTTGGAAAGGGCCAAGAAGGGCATTGGGTTCAGCCCCCTGCTGCTGTGGGACACCAGTTCACTCCAGCTGGAAGGCAACCTGAAGCCTTTCCTGCTTCAGTTTCACTCCTGATGTCCCTGCAGTTCCCATGGAATCCCAGGAGGAATCCATGCATGACAGCATTCTGGAGCACTTACAGGATCTGATCTGGAGGAAAGGAGATCTGGTCGATTGGTCTTGTCCTTTAAGTAGGACCTGTTGAACAAGAAAAAAAGATACCTTGAGAGACTTCCAGAAGTGGGCATTTTTGAGAATCCTGCATGAGATCTGAAAGCTTTAGCACCTTCACCAGCCCACCCAAAGCTCAGCTGCCACTTGAGGAATGTTCCTCATTTGAACAGAGCCTTGTCCCACGTACCCCTTTGCACATGAGAAGGCCCTGCTCTTTTGATGGCACTTCTGCATCGCAGCCCACCTAGCCTGACTCGTTAGGTGCATGTGCTCAGAAAGGGGATGGTGGTGGCGACCTGCACTCTGAGGGGGCCGAAAGCTAAAATAATCCAATTATTAAAAAAAAAAAAAAGGACTTTGAGGTGACACAAAGCCCTGCTCGGGGCGTCGGATCCAAATTCTGCGCATCCGGCTCGACTCTCCTGCTCCACCTCATCGTGATCCTGACAGAATTCCAGCAAGGGCCACGAGCAGGGCCTCGACTTGCAAGCTCGCTGCTGGGCAGGCAGAGAACAGGGGAGCTCAAGCAAGGGGCGGAGGCGCTTGCGGGACCCGGTTCCCCGCGGAGACGCCCTCCGCGGGCGTCGCCTCCCGCAGCTCGCCCGGGCTGCCCGCCCCTCCGTCCCCGCCGGGGGCGCCCGCCCCGACTCACTTGGCGCACGGCCGCTCCGCTCTGCCCTTGGCCGCCAGGAACTCCCGCAGCCTCCTCCGGCGCTCCTCTGCAACACAGCAGCGCGCGTGTCAGCCCGCCCGCCGCCCGCCCGCGCCCGAGCGGAGCCCTGGGAAGCCCGGCGGCGACCCGGCGGCGCTCTTCGGGGCCCGGCCGGCGGGCGGGCGTCCCTCCCTTCCCGCCGCCAGGCGCACTCCAGAGCGGGCGCGGCCCCTCACCGACGGCAGCGGCGGCGGCTCCTCTTCCTCCTCCTCCTCTTCCTCGCCCGCCTGCCGGCGGCGGCGGCGACGGCCGGGCGCGGCGCGGGGCTCCCATGGCGGCCCTGCCGGCTCGGCTTCCCTCTCCGCCGCGTTCAAAGGGGCCAATCGGGAGCGAGGGGCGGGGCTCCGGCGTCCCAGCGGAGAGCGGCGCCTCGACGCGGCCCACTCTGGCGCCTTTCCGGTGCGCCCGCCCGCGGTGCAGAAGGGGTCGGTGGGTCACGGCGGCGCCAATGCCGCTCCGAGCTCCTCGGTCGGGGATCCCCTCCGCCTTGCCGGGGTAGCGGGGCGGCGGGCAGAAGGCTGGGCCCGGCGGGCCTTGGGGCGCGGCAGCCTCGGGCTGATCGGCGCGCTTGCGTGACGGTATGGATCGCGCCCGGGCGGCCCCCGGGGTGGCGCCGGTGCCGCGGCTTCCCCGAGGGTCGCTCGACGCGCGGCGCCCCCGTGACCGTGCAGAAGGGGGCAAGGCGGTACCGAGGAGCGGGGCGCTCCGGCCCAGCCTGCTTGTCGCCCGTGGCCTTCCCGATCCCCTGGCGGGATCCCGCCTCGACTGTAGCAGCGCCGTTCTGCTCAAATGTGCCCCATAGCTGGAGACACAAGCGCAGTTACCTTGCTAGCCTGCAGGACTTTGCCGAACGCCCTTAAAACCGTCTGAGGGGATGGCCCTCATTACATTTTGTGGCACTGCATTCCATAGGGATGGAAAAGACACGTGTCTGGATTTAAATGCACTTTTCTTCCTGTTCTTTCTGTCTCTGAACCTTTCTGGTTTTGATGGACTCTCTAGCCAAGGGTGGCCAGGCACTGAAATGCCTCCTTTGTGCAGTAGAGGGATTCTTCATGGGCCTGAGTTGTCGTGTAAAGTGCTCTACCCCGCTCTTATCAATTTGGGAGCCTCCCCCCACCTCTTTCTCTGGTTCTTTTTTGTTTGCACCAATTCCACCCATATGGGATCTGCCTGTTGGCAAGTACGACAACCAGAGAACCACAGAAGAACTCACGCATCTTGCCTGTATCATGTATTTAACCTTTGTAAACCATGAATCCTTCCCTCTTGCCACTCTGCAAGGCTCATTCTCTAACAATGGACCTTTCCCTGCTGCCAGCTTGAATCCTACAACATTGGAAGGGGCCAACAGGGCCACTGGGTCCCAGCCCTGCTTACTGCAAAACTCATGTTCAAGTGTCCCTAACGGATAGCTGAGCAGCTGCATCTTCATAGAATCATAGAATCGTAGAGTTGGTAGGGGCCCTGAAAGCCATTGGGTCCAATCCCCTGCTGTTGCAGGACACCACATTACACCATCCTACTCAGAGGGCTGTCCAGTTTCTTCTTGAATGCCTTTGAATGCGTATAGTCAAGGCTATGGTTTTCCCAGTTGCAAAGTATGGTTGTGAAAGCTGGACCATAAGGAAGGCTGAGCGCTAAAGGACAGGCCTTTGAATTGTGCTGCTGGAGGAGACTCCTGCGAGTCCCTTGGACAAGGCAATCAAACTGGTCAGTCCTAGAGGAGATCAACCCTGACTGGCCAGAAGGCCAGAACTGAAGATGAAACTCAAATACTTTGGCCACCCAATGAGAAGGAAAGACTCCCTGGAGAAGAGCCTAATGCTGGGAACAATAGATGGCAAAAGAAGAAGGGGACGGCAGAGGATGAAGTGGCTGGATGGAGTCACTGAAGCAGTTGGCGTGAGCTTGAGTGGACTGTGGGGGATGGTGGAGGACAGGAAGTCCTGGAGGAATGTTGTCCATGGGGTCGCAATGGGTCGGACATGACTTCGCATCTAACAACAAGTGTGGGAGAGCCCATGACCTCTCCAGACAGCTGGTCCCACTGCCTTCTTGCTCTGACAGGGAGGAAACGTTTCCTGATGTCCAGCTTGAATCTGGGTTGTCGCAACTTGAACTGATTATTCTGTGTCCTGGCATCAGCAAGA